GCCCTGGACGTGCACGAGGCCCAGATGCAGGAGGAGCGGAGCCAGGAGGAGAGGCGCCGAGGGTCTTCAGCATCGGCAGCGGCAGGGCAGCAGGAGCCGAGGCGGTCACGGCGGCGATCCAGGACGAGGTGCAGGTGGGCATGAGCGAGCTGAGCGAGGATGAGAAGGAAGGAGGAGGCCCCAGTGTCGAGGGGGACCTGACATGGCAGCACGAGGACGCGTTCGACCCGCTGAACGCGTACTTCGAGCTGAATGCAAAGGTCATCGCGCTGGAGTCGACGCAGGAGCAGATGATGGCGGGCTGGAGGGCCCACGAGGTGCAGGAGGCAGTGCAGCAGCTGAGCGCCAGGGTGCAGCAGCTGGAGGCGGCACTCCCCATGCAGCCGCCTGGCGCAGGGCCCTGGGTGCCGGTCCTGGTCCCGTCGGTGGCGATGGAAGCGGCGGTGCGCGAGCAGGTCGAGGAGGCGATCACGAGCGTCAAGGAGCAGGCCAGCGGCATCCAGAGGAGGGTCGAGGAGCTGGAGGACGGCGACGGGGGGAGAAGGTCGGAGCGTGGGCGCCTCCCGACGGTCCCGCCCTTCCCTCAGCTGGAGGGGGCGGGCGGGGAGGGGGTCGCTCCGACGGGCGCGTGCCCCAAGGCGCAGGCGGCGCGGGAGGAGGAGCCTTGCGCGACGCAGGCAGGTACGCGCGGCGAGGCGAGGCGGCTGCGGCGTCCAGGCTGGACGGAGGCCCACGAGCGGCGCCTGCAGGAGCTGTGGCAGCGGGACCCGATGGCGGGCTACGCGCTGCCCAGGAAGGCGGCGGGCGCCAATGAGGAGGGCGAGCAGCAGTTCAGCATCAAGGGCAAGGGCTTGGGCAAGGGCAAGTTCAAGGAGCACGAGGAGGGGCAGTGCAACGGGGAGCTCGACGAGGTCGCGAAGGATGCCGAGAGGCAGCTGCGGGGGCAGGAGCGGGCGGGCAGCGTGCGAGGGGCGCGCAGTGCGGCCGCAGGAGGGCTGCCGCAGGCCGAGGGAGGAGTGCGGCGAAGTGGAGGCGCCGGAAGCAGCAGCCAAGCCAGCAGGAGGCGCCTGGCGGAGCTCGGCGAGGCGGAGGCGGTGGCGCCCTCGGCCCCCGAGGGGGCCGCTGGGGCGACCGTGCAGGAGCTCGGAGTGTAGTTGGAGGAGTGCGGCTCCGCCCCAGGGCGGGGCTCCCGCAGCGAGGGGAAGGCCGAGCAGGTGTGAGCCTCGGCCTGGGACGAGGGGTGAGCTCGTGGTCGTCGTCGTCGTTCGGCGGTAGTGTGTACCCGCTTGCGCGCGCCGCGTCCGCCGCCGAGGGATTCCTCGGCACTACGTTGGACCGTTGGACCGTCGTGGTAGTCGTCGTCGTCGGCATCGTCGCCGTGATCTTCGTCGTGCTCTTCGCTCTCGTTGCCCTCGTCGCAGTCGTCGTCGTCGCCGTCGTCGTGGTCGTGGTCGTGGTCGTGGTCGTCGTGACCGTCGTCGTCGTCGTCGTCGTCGTCGTCGTCGTCGTCGTCGTCGTCGTTGTCGTTGCCACCGCCACCCTGTTCATCCTCGTCGTCCTCCTCGCCCTCGCCGTTGTCGATGTCGCAATCGCCGTCCTTTCAGCCGTCGCCAATCCTCGAGGTCGTCGTCGTCGTCGTCATCATCTTCGTCGTCACCGTCGCCGTTCTCTTCGCTCTCGTTGCCCTCGTCACCCTCGTCGTCGTCGTCGTCGTCGTCGTCGTCGTCGTCGTCGTCGTCGTCGTCGTCGTCGTCGTCATGGTCGTCGTCGTTGTCGTCATCGTCGTTGTGGTCGTGGTCGTGGTCGTGGTCGTCGTCGTCGTCGTCGTTGTGGTCGTGGTCGTGGTCGTGGTCGTCGTCGTCGCCACCGACACCCTATTGATCCACGTCGTCCTTCTCGCCTTCGCCGATGTCGCAATCGCCGTCCTTTCAGCCCTCGCCAAGCCTCGCCGTCGTAGTCGTCGTCGCCGTCATCTTCGTCGTTACCGTCGCCGCCGTCTTCGCTCTCGCTGCCCTCGTCGCCGTCGTCGTCGTCGCCGTCGTCGTCGTCGTCGTCGTCGACGCCGTCGTCGTCGTGGTCGTTGTCGTCGTCGTCATCGTCGTCGCCGTCGTCGTCGTCGTCTTCGCCGTCGTCTTCGTCGTCACCGTCGCAATCCTTTTCGCTCTCGTTGTCCTCGTCGTTGTCGTTGTTGTTGTCGTCGTCGACGTCGACGTCGTCGTGGTCGTCGTCGTCGTGGTCGTCGTCGTCGTCGCCCTCTCGGAAGTCACCGCCACCGCTGTCGGCGATGGGCGTCGCGGTGCCGGGCCTCCAGCTGCCGCATGGCGCTGTTCCCCTCGGCCAGGCCCTCCAGGCGCGGAAACAAAGAGAGAGAGAGAGAGAAACGGCATCGACACGATCTGTTGGCACTCCGCGCGGATTTCTTGGATCTGCGCTGCACCCCCCTCCCTGGCGCGCGGAGCGCGCCAGGGGCGGCGCTGGAGGCGCCGCCAGGGGGCAGCGCGAATCCAAGAAATCCGCGGGGAGCGCCAGCAGTCTATGTTTATGCAATTGTTTTTTTCCTGCTTCGAGGCCAGGCGAGTCTGTGCGTGCACGCAGCCGCCCTGTAATGTCTTTTCAGCCAAACTTTTCTGAAGAGTTGCCAATCGCGCACTCTTCTGCCCACGCGTCCCTCTGGACGCTCGGCTCAGTGGTGGTGGTGGTGGTGGCGAGGCCAGCCAGGCCCTCCGGGCGCGGAAGGGCGACGACGGCCACGACGACGGCTGGCGACGAGGCGTGTCGGAGGCTCTCGAGCCCCGTCGGCCACCTCACTTCGCGCTCCGCGCCCCGCGGGTGCGCAGCCGCCTACGCGCCCTCGTGCCGCCCCCTCCCCCCTGCAGAAGCTCGCCACCGCTCGGACGTCCATTCGCCGTGCACTGTTCGACTTCGTGCGTGTGTTTGTTGGCAAGATGATCCAGGATGCTCCACGATGGCCCTCGCCGAACGATGCCAAGGAGGGCCGCCCTCCAGTCCGGACCGCGACGCGCGATCGCCTTCGCGCAGCCTGCGGGCGACCGATGGCCCCAGGATGCCTTCGTGGAAGGCGAGGGTCGTGCGGCGACGTCGGCGGCGGCGCCGAGAAATGGCGGCGGCGAAGCTTTCAAGACCCTGAGTCTCTGAAGGCCCCTCTTCGGCATGAAGGATGGGAGGGGGTGGGGAGGAGGCAGAAGATCGTGTCAGACGATGGGAAGGGGGTCAGGAAAAGGGGTGATGATCGCTTCTGCTTGCTCGCTGCGCCGTGACTGGGAGATGGAATCGGGAAGGAGCTGTTTTGCCGCAAGGTCCAAGGCCGCATCTTCACTACCTAGCATTAGGTCGGGCGTCCCCCTACCAAAGGATTTTGGAGGAAAAACCAAAGAAATACCCCAAACTATTCAAACATACCACAACAAATCGTCCCCGGACTATTTCTTTAATACCATTTGGAATATTCCTCCTGTAGAGGGACAGGCCCGACTCAAACCTAGCGACGCATGCCTCTTGTGGGGTGCCTCATGTAGCTGCAGGCTGGCCCGGCCAGGCCCGCGGTGACCCAGGAGCGGTCGCCGGGAGCGCTGGCCAGGCGAACTCCCCAGCGCCAGCGGTGCCTACCTGAAGAGTAGGGCGCCCACCGGGGGGCCGAAACCAGCTGCGTGCAGCAGATATCGCATCCCCCGCTGTCCCAATCCACACCCCTCATGTCCGATCCGATCTGGCACCCGCGGATCGAATCCGTCGAAGTCTGGGGGAAGAGAAGAGGAAGTCGCTGCGTTAAACAACATTGACGGGCTGGCTCGCCACTCTGCGCACAAGGCAGGGCTAGAACACCCCAGAAGCAAAAGGGCTGCTGCCAAGGCTGAGTGTTCTCGTAACCTGGGAGCCGCGAACTCACTGTTACTGCTTTCAGCACTGAGCACAGCGCAGGCAAGAGGCGGCGTACCCCAACCCTTCCAGTGAGGGCGCGTGCCGCAGGCGCGCGTGCCGGGCCTGCAGCTTCGCCACGACGTTCCGCATGCGGGAGGAGACGTCCTCAGAGGCCGCCCAGATGGAGTCGGAGGGTCGCAATGCATTAGCGACGTCGAGAGCCGCACCACCGATGCGTCGGCGGTGCGGCGCGACCCTCCGACCCCATCTGCTCGGACTCGATGTTCGGGTCGGGGAAAGGGGGGGATAGCAAAGGGGGGGTTGAGAATCAGCTCCGTAGCTGATTTCCCCGGCGCCTCCCGGCGCCAGAGGCGGCCATGTATTCGAGGAATGGGCCCCTCGGTGAGGCCGAAACCAGCTGCATGCAGCAAAATTTCGTAACCCCCCCTTTCCCAAATCCCCCCCTTTCGCCCGGCCCGAGATGTGCAGAAGAGGCAGACAACATACAAGAAGGAGAGACCAGCACCAATCACCTGACTACCTACCAGACCACCCCAACCCAACCCGAAGACCCGAATTTCGGGTTGGGGGGGGTAAGGGTTCCATACGTGTTTTTTCGATGTTTCCCGAACCCCCCCCCACTGGAAATCGAGGGTAAATCTGAGCCTTCGGGTTGGGTTGGGGTGGTTTGGTGGGTGGTGAGTCGGAGGTCCGCGCGGATCTCTTGGATCGGCGCCGGGCCGCCCTCACGAGCGCGCAGAGTGCGCCAGCGGCGGCGCAGAGAAGGCGCCGCCAGGGGGCTCCGGGGCGCCGATCCCAGAAATATCCGCGCGGAGCTCCTAGAGTTCCCACTTCTGCAGCGTATTCTCCTTCGACCGTCGACCACCCAGCATCGGTCCACCGATCCCTATTCCCACTGGCATGGCCTTGGCCCCAGAGGCCGACTTACCCACTTGGGGGGGAATACGTGAACTCGCTTCGGCTTTCGCGGGGCCTATGTATACCCCCTCTAGAGGAGTGGGCTGGTGGGGCTGCGATGCCATAGCCCAGTGGGGCTGTGCGTGACGCGGGTAGCTGGCACCCCCTGGAGCACGAGTTCGTTTAACTTCTGAGGGTCGAGGCCCTGACCGCCCTTCCCGACAGGGACGCGCTCCGGCGCGACAATGTCGGTCTGTCTGTCTGTCAATGGGGATGGGGACCAACTGGACGAGGCTGGGGAAACCAAAAGGTACCAAGGTACCGATACCGCTACTCCCCGGACCTCTCCCAGGGTGCCTTCTGACCAGAATTCCGATGCGAATCCAGCGGTGGCAACGAGGACCTCCCAGGAGGCCCAACAAGGTCAAAACGAGGTAGCGGTATGGGTACCATTTCCTCCTCTGAGGCTAGACGATAGAGCCTGTTTGTATTATTCGCGATAACGGGCGTGATCGGGGGAGGGGGGGGGGAATTCGCCCCCCCCGATCACATCACGGCGGGGGGCCGCCGAACATCTCAGGACATCCTCGAGGAATCCGCAGGAAATGGGGGGGGGGCTGGGAGAGAGAGGGTCGATCACGGCCGTTACCGCCCAGACCTTACAACAAAAAACAAGCTCATGCCCACTACCTACCAGGCCACCCCAAACCTACCCGAAGACCCGGTCGGGTTGGGGGGGATGTACGGCCTTCACCTGTCTTTTTTGCTCGAGAAGTTCCCCGACCCCTCCCCCCCACTGGAGGTGGAGGGCACATCGCGGCCTTGAGGTTGGGGCTGGGGTGGCTTGGTGGGCAGCGACATGCCGAGCCCCGTGTCCTTCGCCTGCTTCATGGCCTGGGAGTCCCGCATGGACGGGCGCCGCTCGGGCCCCGGCCGCTCGGACCTGACGGGGCGGATGGGGGAGGAGGAGGGATGATGATGATGATGATGATGCTGCTGCTGCTGATGATGATGATGATGATGATGACGACGAGGAGGAGGAGGAGGAGGAGGAGGAGGAGGAGGAGGAGGAGGAGGAGGAGGGAGGAGGAGGAGGTGAGGAGGAGGAGGAGGGAGGAGGAGGAGGAGGAGGAGGAGGAGGAGGAGGAGGAGGAGGAGGAGGAGGAGGAGGAGGAGGGAGGGAGGAGGAGAGGAGGGAGGAGGATGGCCGCGAGTCGGAGGGGCGCGTCGATCGAGGAGGGAGGAGGAGGAGGGAGAGGAGGGAGGAGGGAGGAGGAGGAGGAGGAGGGAGAGGAGGAGGATGAGAGAGGAGGGAGGAGGAGGAGGAGGAGAGAGAGGAGAGAGGAGGAGGAGGAGGAGGAGGAGGAGGAGGAGGAGGGAGGAGGGGAGGAGGAGGAGGAGGAGAGGAGGAGGAGGAGGAGGAGGAGGAGGAGGGGTCCAGAGTCCGTAGCCATGTCAGCTCATGCCATCCAAAAGCGGATGACAGCCCTATTGCTCAAGCTAGCTTAGCACCATGGTTTGCAGAGGGGAAGTCTCCGGCGTGGAATTGGTCTATGGGACGGGTCGCCACACGGGTGGCCCGAAGAGACGCATGGCCGAGAGGGCGGCCGCCGCGCGGCGGGCTCGTGCGAGCGCTGATGGAGCCATCCACCGCCTCCAGGCTCGGCTGGTGAAGCTGGAGGAGCAGTCAGGGGCACTCCGGGCGGAGGTCATAGACGAGCTGCACGCGAGGCTGATGCTGATCGCACCAGCGCTGCAGGCCCAGGTGGAGGACATCGAGGTGCCCATCGTGGTGCGCATGCGTCGCAGTGCAGCTGCCCATGTTTTCGACGTGCCAGCGGCGGCGATAGCGGGCGCCTCCCAGCGCGAGCTCAACGCCATGCAGATGGGGCCGATCCAAGGCACCTTGCATGGGCGCGTAGGTTCTCGTACCTGGCGAGTGGCAACCGCTGGACCCCGCTCCCGCGGTCGGGGACGCCTGCTTGCAGCCCGATGCAGGGCAGGCCGCTGTAGTCAAGGAGCTCAGCATGAGGTGCACATGCGGCGTACACGTCTTCTCGCCGCTCTTGGGGCTGGCTGCAGCGGCGCCGTGCCGTACAGGGACGCCTCGGTTTGTGGCGGGAGGGGACTGCACGCTCAGGAAAGATGCAGCGGAGATTAGCCGCTTCGATTCGTATGGGTCGTTGAAGCAGCCCTTCAAAGCCAAGCTGGAGCGGTTATTGGCCAGGGAGAAGCTGGATGCTCTGGAGGCGCTCCGCAGAGCGACGTGTCACCCATTCGATATCGACGTGCCCTCCAAGCGCGAGAGACTGTTGGTTAGGGAGAGGCGAGTTCCAGGTACGGCCGTGGAGGCTGATATCGGTGCCCTGCTCAGGGAAGTGGGCACAGCCATCAGCACTATCTCAAAGTGAGGCCATTTGCTCACGTTCCTATTCGTGCCCTGGTGAGCGATTGCCGTTCTGTTGCATGCCTTCGCCAGGGTATCGGAGATGCGATGGGCGCTGTGGCTCGGGCGCCCGTCCGCGGAGCTGCGGCTCGTGTGCGGCGCTGTGCCCGGCCACCCGTCGTGTGTGAGTTGGGCTCGTGCGCGGCGCCGTGCTCGTCCACCCGCCCGCGGAGCCCATCCTGCGGGGAGACAACGGGAAATCGGTCCATTGCAGGGGTTGCCCCAAGAACGGTCCCGATGGCATTTTGTCCCTGCGGGGAGTGGAGCTCCCAGCGCGAGCGAATTGCCCCAGTTCGCAGGATCAGGAGTGCAACTTCCTGCTTTCAGTGTTAAGTCGGGCCTGTCCCCCTACAGGGGGATTTCCGACGAACAATAAAAAATACCCCTAAACATAATCCAAAAATAACCCAAACATAGTCCAGGACTATTGTTTGAGCATCTTTTGGCAATTTTGGGGTATGTTTGGTATACTTTCCCCATATCCTAAGATGGGGTTCTTGTTATTACTTGGACGCCTCCTACTGCCTCGCCCTCCTCCTCTTTCCTCCTCCCCTCCTCCTCTTTCCTCATACTCAGACCTACTCATACTCAGACTTACTCATACTCAGACTTACTCATGCTCAGACCTACTCATACTCAGACTTACTCACACTCAGACATACTCATATACAGACTTACTCATATACAGACTTACTCACACCCAGACGTACTCATACACAGACTTGCTCATACCAGACTTACTCATACACAGTATTACTCATACTCAGACTTACTCATACCCAGACGTACACATACACAGACTTTCTCATACACAGACCTACTCATACCCAGACTTACTCATACACAGACTTACTCATACACAGACTTACTCATACTCAGGCATACTCATACTCAGACCTACTCATACTCAGACTTACTCAACACACATCAGATTTGGAGGATGTCTCAAGCGGGGCGCTGGTTTCAGCACCCCTAAGGGGAGCCGCCAGGGGTGGTTGCACGGGCTCGTTCGCGGCCATTTTGTGGGGATGTCTCAGGCGGTTTGCTGTTTCTGGGCTCAACATCCTTCGCTTGGAGAGCAGATTGTGAGGATGTCTCAGGCGGGGCGCTGGTTTCAGCACCCCTAAGGGGAGCCGCCAGGGGTGGTTGCACGGGCTCGTTCGCGGCCATTTTGTGGGGATGTCTCAGGCGGTTTGCTTGTTTCTGGGCCCAACATCCTTCGCTTGGAGAGCAGATTGTGAGGATGTCTCAGCGGGGCGCTGGTTTCAGCACCCCTAAGGGGAGCCGCCAGGGGTGGTTGCACGGGCTCGTTCGCGGCCATTTTGTGGGGATGTCTCAGGCGGTTTGCTTGTTTCTGGGCCAACATCCTTCGCTTGGAGAGCAGATTGTGAGGATGTCTCAGGCGGGGCGCTGGTTTCAGCACCCCTAAGGGGAGCCGCCAGGGGTGGTTGCACGGGCTCGTTCGCGGCCATTTTGTGGGGATGTCTCAAGCGGTTTGCTTGTTTCTGGGCTCAACATCCTTCGCTTGGAGAGCAGATTGTGAGGATGTCTCAGGCGGGGCGCTGGTTTCAGCACCCCTAAGGGGAGCCGCCAGGGGTGGTTGCACGGGCTCGTTCGCGGCCATTTTGTGGGGATGTCTCAGGCGGTTTGCTTGTTTCTGGGCTCAACATCCTTCGCTTGGAGAGCAGATTGTGAGGATGTCTCAGGCGGGGCGCTGGTTTCAGCACCCCTAAGGGGAGCCGCCAGGGGTGGTTGCACGGGCTCGTTCGCGGCCATTTTGTGGGGATGTCTCAGGCGGTTTGCTTGTTTTCATGCCCAACATCGCCGGCGGGGCTGCGCCTCCAAAAGTGGTGAAACGCGCCCTGGGGAACCAGGGTTGAGGAGGAAGAGGGGGAGGAAGAGGAGAAGGAGGAGGAGGAGGAGGAGGAGGAGGAGGAGGAGGAGGAGGAGGAGGAGGAGGAGGAGGACTGGGGGAGGAAGCAGGGGGATCAGGACGATGAGGTGAAGGATGACGACAAGGATGAGGAGGATGTCTAAGAGATTGAAGACGAGGAGGAGGATGGCGTGAGCGAGGGAAATGACAGGAACGAGGATGAGGAGGAGGAACAGGAGGAGGAGGAGGAGGAGGAGGCGGGGGATCGTGAGGAGGGGCATGGGGGTGCGGAGGGGGATGCACGTGAATGAATGCATGCACGCGGTGGATGTGCTCGTGGAGCAAACATCTATCATAGACGCGCTCGCCGCTCACATGGACGCGCTCGTGGAGCAAACATCTATCATAGATAAATGCTCACCGTGGCACTACCCTCCAACATGACATGCACTTATGGCCTTGTGTGGCTGAACGCTCGTCTTACATATCCCACTGCCAACTATCCTAAAACATATGCACATATGGGAAGCTCCAAAGCTACCGCGGGCTGACAAGGGGAAGGCCTGGCAGCTGAGGAGGGGGGATGAAGAGGAAGAGGCTCGCATTCAACCGTACTCAAAGCTCACTCTGACTCATACGCAATCACTCGCATTAGGGGTCACTCGTCTTCGTCGGCCCTGTCGCCCACGTGGACGCGCTATTGTAGTCGACCGCTCATGAACAGACGCTCACCACGGCATGACATAAAACATGCGATGCACATATGGGGAGCTCCACGCAGTGAGTAATTGTTTATTTTTCGTCGAAAGTCCCCCTGTAGGGGGACACGCCCGACATAAGCCTTACGCGCGACCTTGCGCGGGCAGCTGACGCGCCGTGCAGACGACCCCGTCTTCAGGCGTCGCTCCAGCGTGGGAAAAGTGTTCTCGTCTTGCTCTTCCCAGGAACGGCCGCTACCCGGCGTGGGGCCTCACGGGGGGAAGGCCTCCCCCCTGGGGGTCACGACACCGTGCGGAGGCAACCGTGCGGTGGCAACCGTGCGGAGGCAGACCGTGCGGACAGGCCCGACCTAATTTCAGTGTCGCCCCATCGGTGGTGCACCCTGCTCCCCTTGGGCTCTCGGGCGCCCCCTTGGCGTGCATCCTTCTCATGTCTCAACCCCACGACAGGAGGGAGAGGGTTCCGAACAGGGATCGGTTCGCCTCTGTGCGCCCTGTATGTGTGTAGGAGGAGGAGGCGGAGGAGGAGGGAGGAGGGAGGAGAAGGAGGAGGAGGAGGAGGAGGAGGAGGAGGAGGAGGGAGAAAGGAGGAGGGAGGAGGAGGAGGGAGGAGGGAGGAGGAGGGAGGAGGGAGGAGGAAGCGGGCCGCAAGGCGCAAAACACAGCGGGAGGCAGGGCCGCCGGGCGGCCGGGCCCGTGTGGGGGCCGTTTTCCATAGTGAAAAACGGTGCGCGGGCGCTTTGCTCAAAATCCCACGTGATTAACAATGTTCGGCGACCCCTCGATTTTGTCTTCTCGGTGCCCGATATCGACTTTGTGCGTGCCCGCTCGCACGCGGCGCACTCTGGCGCACTCCGAAGGCGCTTCCGTGCGCGCCCGCTCGGGCGCGGCGCTCGTCGGCGCACCCCGAGGGCGCTTCCGCTCGATAGAAAACTACGTGAAGTCCCGTTCGGCGTGGAGAAAACAACGCTTCGCGCGTGCCCGCTCGAGGATGATGCACGTGGGGGGCCAGAATTTAAAAGATGCCTCAGGCGAAATGTTTGTTTTCACGTCCCGCTCGCAGGAATTCCGAGGATGTCTTGCGCGTGCCGCGTCCCGCGCGCAGGAATTTCGAGGATGTCTCGACTAATTCGTTTGTTTTGCCAGGATGTCCTTGAATTTTGACAGGATGTCTCGAGCGAACGCTTGTTTTTTCATCATTTGCTGAGGATGTCTCTAGCGAAACGCTGGTTTTACAAAATTGGGGGATGTCTCGAGCGGGGGCCTCGTGGGGGGGCAGAATTCAAAGGATGTCTCAGGCGAAATGCTTGTTTTCACGTCCCGCTCGCAGGCATACCGAGGATGTCTCGCGCGTGCCGCGTCCCGCGCGTAGGAATTTCGAGGATGTCTCGCCTAATTCGTTTGTTTAGCCAGGATGTCCTTGGATTTTGGCAGGACGTCTCGAGCGAAATGCATGTTTTTCATAATTTGTTGAGGATGTCTCTAGCGAAACGCTGGCTTTGCAAAATTGGGGGATGTCTCGAGAGGGGGCCTCGTGGGGGGCCAGAATTCAAAGGATGTCTCAGGCGAAATATTTGTTTTCACGTCCCTCTCGCAGGAATTCCGAGGATGTCTCGCGCGTGCCGCGTCCCGCGCGCAGGAATTCTGAGGATTTTGAGAGGATGTCTCGAGCGAAACGCTTGTCCCCAGCACGTTCCGTAGCGCGTCCCCTTGGCACGTCCCGCGGTGCGTCCCCATGGCACGTCGCTTGGCGCGTGCCTTGAGACGTTCCGCGTCGCATCCTTCTGGCATGTCTACAATTTTGTAATGATTTTCCCCGGAAAGGGCATAGGCCCAAGGTTCTCTTTTAGTTTGTTTACCCCCGGTTTTGACTTGAGGTGGGCCGGCAAATTTCTTTTGCGATGAATATCAAGGTCGAGGTGGGCCGGCGAATTAAGATTTGAGGATATCTCTGAGGATGTCTCGAGCGAAACGCTTGTCTTGTGTTATAGATTATCCTCTCCTGGGGACCGGAAGTCAGAGGATCTCTCAAGTGAAATGATCGTTTTCACGTGCCCAGGTCTTGAGGATGTCTCGAGCGAGACGCTTGGTTGCACGCCTCCAGGTTATCCAGGCAGCCGAGTAGATAGGGGCACTCCCTATGACATCAGCGCTGTGCTTCAAACGGCGAGCTACTGGAGTCACATCCCCCCGAGGCGGAGGAGGAGGAGGCGGATGAGGAGGAGGAGGACCTGCCCGACGAAGGAGAAGACGCCGCGGCAGGATCGGCTCCCTGTGGAGGTGGTCCAGCAGCTGCCGCCGCCTGCGCAGGAGCACCGCTGGAGCGCCTGGCTCGGAGTGCGTGCGAGTCGCGCCCCCCTTGGCCCCTCCCACCTGAATTGAGCAGGGACCGACCGTCCCGGCACTCCTACAGGCCCACCACGACATGCTCTTAGAACCCAGGGGTGTTCTAGGAACAGCACCCACAAGGTTCGTAGAACAAAGGCCTGATGTGATAAAACAAAACAAGTTCGGCCAGACATGTTCAGAACATTTCGTGCACACCACAAAGGGTTCTTAGACAATTCTTGGGTGGGCCTATAGGCAAGCAGGGACGCTTCGCCACTGCTTGACCGAAAGATGGCGCACCCACCCATCCGATCACAGAGGCTGGAGGAAAAACAACTGTCGGCGGTGGACGAACCTCCCTTTAGTAAACCTCCCTTTAGTGAAAACGGCCTGGGACCCCGACGGACCTGGACCCGCAAATCGAGTCGGGGGAAAGGGGGGGATAGCAAAGGGGGGGTTTGAGAATCAGCTCGCGTGGCTGATTTTCCTGGCGCCTCCCGGCGCCGGGAGGCGGCCATGTATCGAGGACTGGGCCCCTCGGTGAGGCCGACACCAGCTGCATGCAGCAAATTTCGTAGCCCCTCCTTTCCCAATCCCCCCCTTTCGTCCGGCCCGAGCTTTCCTGGGTCGGTGCTGGACGCAGCTCCCCTGGCGCGCGGAGCGCGCCAGGGGGCGCTCGGCGCCGCCCGGAAGCATCTCTGGACGGGCCTCGCACCGACACCGCCTTTAGGGGCACAAAGAGTGCCACAAACATAAAAACTCGGTCAGTCTCGGCGTCGGCCTCCCCCTCTTCCCCAATCCCCTTCCCCCCCTGGCCGGAAGCGACGACAACGATGGCAACGGTGGTGGCGAGGGGGCTGGGCATGACAGCAGGGCTAGGGGAACAAACAGTGGCACAAACATAAAAACTCGGAGGTCCGCGCGGATTTCTCGAATCGGCGCTGGGGCCCCCCAACTCCTCCACCCCGGGTCCCCCCACCCCCAGACCCTGGCCCCCCTTGCAAGATCAGCCAACATGGAATCGGTAAATCGGATCGGGCTGGGCACGGAACCGAAATCGGATCGGATCGGCCGCGCCAGGATGCACAACAACGCTATGCCATGGTCGAGCCGCATCGGACCGTCGGAAGATCGAAATCGCAACGGGCTGCCGGGAGTCGATGACGTTCGGATCGGATCGATCAGATCGAAATGAACCCTGCCTCAGGTCGGGCATCCCCCTACAGGCGGATGTTGAACGACAATGAAAAAATACTCAACACATGCAAACAAAAATACACAAACATAGACGAAGAATCGTCCCCAGACATTTTCTTTGCTACTTGTTAACCTTCCTCCTGTGGGGGACAGGCCCGACTGAAGCCCTGCCCTTGTGCTCCCTCTCTTGGCCCTCCCTCCCCCCGTTCCCTGCACCCCTCCCCCTCCTCCACGCCCGCCCTCCCAGGACGGGAGCCCCTCAGGGGGTGCCGCGGTCTGGGGCGGCCCCGGCTCCCCTTTCCCCTCCTCGGCGTTCCTTCCTTCCTTCTTTCCTTCCTTCCATCTTTCCTTCCTTCCTTCCTTCCTTCTTTCCCTCCTTCCTTCGTTCCTTCTCTCCTTCCTTCCTTCCTTCCTTCTTTCCTTCCTTTTCGGACGAGGATGAATCCGTTCCAGAGAGTTCCGGAACGCTCACAGAGTGTTCTGGAACGCTCTGAGAAGGCCGCGGCGCCTGACACATCCTCCAGAGCCGCCGGAACTCGGAGATTCTCGATTTATCCTCACCCGATTTTATCCTCGTCCTGGCTTCGCCTTGTCCTTCTTTCCTTCCTGCCTTCCCCTCCGGGGGACCTCGCCCCGTCGTCCACCGTTGTCCCCCTTCGCTTCCCCCGCACCAGCGACAGCAGGGGGACGGGTGGTAAACCATTAACCGCCAGCGACTCCCAGTGGAGCGCTCCAGGAGAATCTTCGCACTTCCACGGTGCCAGTCTCAACGGGTCTGTGCTCCTCAAACATCCTCACATTCCTCGTCCCCCTGCCTCCTCCTGCTCCCGCTGCTGCTGCTCCTCCTCCTCCTGCCTCTTCCTCGCGAAGCCCATGCCGGGTCATCCACGACAGAATGCGGACGCTTCTACAAACTACGAGCGCTGCTGCCCCTGATGCCAAGGCATCAACCGTGCAAGAAGAAACTGGACCGTGGGTAGAAGTCCCAGCCATGATCACTGGCACCGCTGATATGTACAGTCGAGGCGCTGACCTAAGGAATCCTAAATAAGGAACGAGGCCCCTTTTCTTCCATAAGCGAAACTTCGACTTCCCGGCGAAAACTTAAGGAAAACCTTAGGCAAGGTGTGGCACAATCAAGGAACACCCAGCCCCTCCCCAACAAAAAAGGTTCCTTCTTCAGCGGCCCGACTGTATTGACCCCCAGCGCGTCACGGCCTCGATGCACAAAGCCGCCGCGGAACACTTCTGTGTGCCCCCATTCGTGGGCACTATCAGCTCGAAATTTGCGAGACCAGCTCTTGGCAGCGTGCAGCGCTGGATCCATGATTTGTGCTCGTCCATTGTGCAGTTGACGTGGTACCTGGCGTGCACGTGCCATGCTATGTTGTGCCAGCAGACAGTGTCATCTGCATCACGCGCAGGGCACCACCCTCTCCGCAAGGTGACAGCGACGATGCTGCGAGAGACGCGCTGGAATACAAGATCCACAGCGGGGCTTGCCAAGCTGGTTGAGCCGATGGCCATTCCATCCAGGGGCCTGCAACAGCGGACCAAGAACGGCATACGGCAGGTTCGCGTCGTGTCGACCCCAGCGATGGTTTCTGTCACCTCGGGGATCGTTCAACCTTGAACGATCGGCCCTTTCCGAGACGTGCGATCCTTCAACATCGACCGATTCTGAGTCGCCGGCGGCGTTCAACCTTGAACGCCCGCGCTGGGGTCGCCGCCGGTCGACACGACACGAACCTACCGTACACGTAGAATTGTGGCGGTTCGCGCGGATTTCCTGGATCTGCGCTGGAGCCTCCTCCCTGGCCAGGGGAGCGCGCCAGGGGCGGCGTCGGAGGCGCCGCCAGGGGACCCCAGGGCGGGCCAACGACAATGCGGTCATGCCGTTCTACCTTCTTCGAGTTGTGCCGATGACCATTCCAGCGCGGGCCAACAAAATATGCTTATGCCGTTCTACCTTCTTCGACCGATGACCATTCCAGCCAGGGGACTGTAGTCCGTGATGAAGACGACACGGCGGACCATGTTGTCCCAACTTATGCCGCATACCTGGAGCGGCGTCTCCGTGATGTGCTGGGACACGCTCCAAACGATGCGTAGAAACCTCACTGCGTTCCGCTCGCGGTGGGGAAACGTCAGCCGACTGCGGGCCCGCGCCAGTAACAACGCGGAAGAGCCCCCATGACTCACTCGCAGAGGTGCGACTCGAAGAGGGGAAATTTTGACACTCATTCGGCTTCACTGCGGCACTGGTCGGTCTCGATGCTCCTTCCGCCAATCGAGGCCGAAAACCGTCACGCAGACATGCTCCCATTCGACTCGGTGCCCAATGCTGGCGTGTACGAGGCCCTCCTTCCTCCTCTTCCTCTCGCTGCCATTCCATCGCAAATGTAAAAAGGTTCTTGCCGTCAACCGGAAGTGAATGACTCTCCCGCCGCGCATTCTTGAATATTCCAAGAAGTATGCGGCTATGAAGCGGCTTCGTTTGGGTCAGCGTAAAAACATTTCCACGTGGCGCGCCGTGCGTGCCATGAACTGCCTATGTCCTTCGCCAGGTTTCCGCCAGAACGTGCCGATGCACTTCAAGAGGTTGAATTCCATTGTTTTACCTTCTGGAGGCCTTGTTGGGACACGCTTGATGACGACAGACCAGATGAAACACTGGCTGAAGGCCCCCTGGACGAAGCTTCGAATTTCTTCGCCGTGCTCCCAAAGCCCTTTAAACACTTGGCGTTGGCCCATATGCTTTTCCGCTTGGCCGCGCCGGTGTTCAACGCTCGATGTCGTGTCACCAGAGCTACTCAAGAGAACGCCCAGAAGAGTAGTATTCTCTACAACCTGGAGCGTGTGGGGGCTATCGCTCGTCACAATGATTGGCGTGATTGGAAGACCACAAAGCATGAATTCAGGAGGCGACTTCTATGTTAACTTCCTGTCGGATACTGAAGTTGCCACGTCCTGCGCCGTATATCAAAACTCACCCACGCTGGACGCGAGAACGAAGAAATGGTTTGACTGGCTTACATGGTTGATGCGGGATGCGTCGTCGTCTAAAGCAACGCCGTATCCGGGCAGATCTCATGTCTTTCTGACGCCTGCAAGCGCTATCTCCAACATGATGTTGAGCTCATCCGGGGTTTCGCCGCCACCTTGTTTCCCGCCCCTCTCAAGATCAAAACGCTCAGAAGGCCCAGCTCCAGGAAGCACGAGTGCCCGAAACCTCGCGCGCATCAAAGTTGCGACCAGGGATGGATGAACACCCCAGGCCTGAAGGGAAGACATCACCACATCATGGAGCATCGAGTCGAACGTTTTCTGGATATAGCTGCTGCCGACCACCAACTTTTCGCCCCATCGATTCGCCACGACGATGCCTTGGCGGATAACGCAAATGATGTCATCACAAGACTGTCCTCGTCGAAGGCCCACTGTGGCCACAAGAGAGGGGAGAAGTGATGTCCTGATTCGAGCTTGGAGCATGACAAACATCATCTTGAGCGCAGAGCAAGCTTTCCAACCCATCTGAATTCAGACGATTGCCTCGGTTGAGTCACCTTGGGAATGCCCGTGAAAACACTTTTCTTCCAACTCGCCAGAGCTCTTGGAAACGATGCCAGAAGTCGAACACAGGTATAAACAGTCAAATCTTGTAGATCTCGGGTGCGGCCGCCGCCTCCTCCGCCGCCTTCCCCCCCTCCTCCTCCTCCCTCCTTCTCCTCCTCCTCCTCATCATCATCATCATCACATTGTCCTCCTCCCTCCTCCTCCCTCCCTCCTTCTCCGCCGCCTTCTCTCAGCCGCCTTCCACTCCCTCCCTCCTCCTCCTCCTCCTCCCTCCCTCCCTCCCTCCCTCCCTCCCTCCTCCTCCTCCTCCTGTTCTCCTCCCTCCCCCTCCCTCCTCCTCCCTCCTCCTCCTATTCCCCTCCCTCCTCCTCCCGCATCCCTCCTCCCCGCCGCAGGGAGGACCCCCCCCCCGTCCTGTGTGGGTCGCCAGAGGAGGGCCTGCGCTCCGAGTCCTGCGCCCGCGGGCGGGCCGGAGCGGAGCGGGGAGGGCCTGGAGGGGCAGGAAGGCGGGGGGCGGCGTCGAAGCCGGCAGGGAGAGGTCCGGCGGCGGGGGGGGGGAGTGGGAAGGAGGCAATCCTGGTAGTTCTGGGGGCAATCACGAAGCGGGCCATCCTGGAGGAGATCGATCAGAGAGATCTTCGATTCGCCTCAGCGCTTTTGGGCTCTCTTGGGGCCGTCTTGGGACCCTCTTGTCGGCGGCGAGCCTGGGGGGAAGCGAGGAGGAGGAGGCCTTCCCAAAGGCTCGGAAGTCCCTCGGCCTTCTGGCAAGTTCTCTAAGCCTTCCCCGAAGACACAGGAAGCCTCTCAGACGGCCAGAGGCCTTCTGAGAGGCTCCGCCGCCTTCTGAGGCCTTCTCCTTCTCATGTTCCCCCCTCGCTCGCCGCCGAGAGGTGCACGAGCGCTCAACATCGAATCGATCGATCCGATCGGATCGGAGCGTGCGTCAGATCCGACTCGTAAGACCGGCTAGGGCTGCTAAACCCCATTGGCGGGCCATGCAGCAAGACGAGGCAGGATTAGGGGAAGGATCAGGCAAACTTGAACAGGACTCAGCCAGATGAAGCGGGACTATGGCGGAAGAGGCTGGTGCTCGACCACAGATCTACTGGCGCCGATGCTGAATTGAGCCTCCCTGGAGTCGGGGGCGTCCACGAAGGGTGTCGTCCAAGCGAGGGGTTCGCAAAGCATGGCCTGAGGCACGTGCGCGGCCCAGGGGGGGCAGGGGTCGTTTCTTTTGTTTGTATGTCTGTATATATACACATCAAAAAGGAAATTAACTTTGAGGGCCAGGGGTCGTGTTGCAACAGGAAAAGGTCTTTGAGGTCGGGGGAGATAGCATTGCGCTGGCCAAGATCTGCATCCCCCCTACAGTGGAGGACAGTCCACAAGAAACCGCCCACAAGAAACCCAACCCTGAGACCCCAGGACGTCCATGGATTTTTGGCGTGGGAGCGTCACGCTTCCCATAGCAAAACCGTCGAAACCCAAGAAACCCAGGGCACCCTGGAGGCAAGCAGGGTGTTTCTTGGCATGGGTCTCCACTGCATGCATCCCCCCCTAGTCATCACTTTCTTTTTGGCAACCATCGTAGCAGAGGTGTGGAACAAATGCACGCGCTCTATAGGGGGGGCAGAATGCCGCTACCGATCGACCAGAGCTTGACCTGGCTCCGGGCCAAACTAAGTGCCACCACGAAGAACACGACGGTGGGGGAAACAAGGGGCACACACAGAATTGTGGACGGGTAGCGATTCATGACAACAGGAATAACACAGAAGCAGGTACGCTTGGGCACTTTGGGCGGACGAAAAGGAGGGGCATCATAGGGATGGGGTTAGCCAGCCTGTTCACGCAGGCTTGGTGAGGCGTCCAGAAAGCGCCCATCGGAGAGGCCGAAATCAGCCGCACTCCTACCCTTAGGTCGGGCGTGTCCTTCTACAGGCCCGACTTAATCCTACCCCCCCCATTCGTGCGACCCGAGAGACGTTTCACGCCAACAAGAGAGGTGTGGAACAAATGCGAGCACGCTCTGACACCCCCATACGGCCCATACGGTCATCGAACTACCATCAGGAACGCCAATACGGAACGAAGAGGCTCCCGAGAATTAGTTCCACGACCTAGAATTACCGGCCCGGAAAGCAAAGCCCCTCCTGAGCCGAATGTGGGCCTCGTTTCAACTTCTTGACTGTACGGTCGTCCATTCGGGATGCGCGAGTGGCAATTCACGTCCAAAGGAAAGGTGCAGGAACGCTCATAACCGAATCGATAAATCCGATCAGATCGGAATGTTCGTCGAATTGGGCTGCATCGGCGCGGAATCGGGCTGGATCGGCCGCCCAAAGCGCCACACAAGCATCGGGCCACATGGGATCGGCAAGAGTACGTATCTAGAAGAAGAAAAAACGGCATAAACATAGCGCTCCGCGCGGAGTTCTTGGATCTGCGCTGGACCTCCCTCCCTGGCGCACTCCGCGCGCCATGGGCGGCACTCGAGGGGCCGGCAGGGGTCCCAGCGCGGATCCAAGAAATCAGCGCGGAGCGCCAAAAGTTTATCGGAATCGGATCGAGCCGGGCGGAACCGACATCAAAGCGGATCGGTCGGATCGAAACTGACCTTAGGTCGGGCATGTCCCCCTACAGGGGGATTTTGAGTGACAAATCAAACATAGTCAAACAATACCCAAACCATACTCAACAATAGTGAAACATCGTCCCCAGACATTTTTTCATTCTTGGATATTCCTCCTGTAGAGGGACGTGCCCGACTTAGAACTGCCCCCGTATCGGGTGTTGCTAGAAGTGCCCCTTGCCCAAGGTGCCCCCAGCTTTTCACTTCATTTTTGGGCCCCTGAGGCCCCCTGGGCCTCGTGAGGGGTGCCCTGGAGGCCGTCTGGGCCACCCCCAGAATTCTGGGGGTACCTTGGGCCAGGGGTACTTCTAGCAACACCCGACCGTAGGGGTGGCCGAACTCCCGCCATCCGGGGCCCCCCGAAGTCGGCAAGCGCGCGGGTCCCGCGTCGCAGATCGTCGCCCCCTGCGGGCTGGGCCTTCGGACGTCAGAGCTCAGAGCAGCATGCCGCGGGGTATTCTGGGTGACCCAAAAAGGGGGGTCCAACTGAACGGGGGTGGTGCAATAGATTTTGGGGAATTGTATGGCAAATGTACTGCGCCGGAGAATTGTATTACATTGCGTTGCGAGCAATGTACTGCATGCGAAAATCCGGCAATACCTTTGCGCCCCAGAATATGTTGCACGCCCCAAATGTATCACAACCCCACAAATGTATTGCACCAAATTTATTGCACCACCCCCTGATCGCTGGACCCCCCTTTGGGTCAACCCGGATTATGGTTGTGCGAGGTCGGGATTCCAGATTCTGGTAAGCCCGAAATGGGCGAGGGAGAAAAACACGAGGACACGGCAACCTTGCGCGACGGCATCGGCCTCCAGGGAGGGCCCTCTCCTGGCCCCATGGGCCGTCAAAAATTGCCCTGACCCACGGAGCGATATCAGGAAGTCTGGATGCCTCCGAAATGGGGTCCGGATAATTGGGGTCGGAAGATCGCGCCGCATCAACGGTGCATCGGCGGTGTCGGGACGGAAAAGGGCGGGCTCCGGATCAAGCCGCGTCGCCGATTAATCGGTGATGCGGCGCAACCCCCTAGGTCCATCTGAGCACTCTAGCCACATGTGGAGGGCGTGGACAAATCCTACGATGCCCTGCGGTTCTGGCCGGCTAAGGCCCTCCTCGGGGATGGTCTCCTCGAGGAAGCCCTCCAGCAGCGGGGTCGTGAGGGCGTGCTTGATACTGGACCTGCGTGCGGGGCTGACGGAATTCATCATCCTCCGCATCATCATGGTCATCATCATGGTCATATTCTCATCATCACCAACGTTAGCATCATCAACGTCATCGTGCTCATGCCAGTCGTATTATGAACTTTTTGGTATGCAGCTTCATCATCAGCACCAGCACCAGCATGCTCATCATGCTGGTCATCATCGTGATTATCATCGTCGTCGCCATCTTCAGGTCACCATCCGCATCATCATGATGATCCCCAGCATCCGTATCACCATGGCCATCAACATTCGCATCACCATCGTCACCCCGTCACCACCACCACCGTAATCATCCGAATCCTGTCCCTCATCCTCGTCCTCATCCTCATCAGCATCATCATCAGCAGCAACCGCATCAGCATCATCATCGCGCTCATCCACCCACTGTCCTCAGTATCCTCCTCCCCTTTCTCCTTTTCCTCCTCCTCCTCCTCCTCCTCCTCCTCCTCCTCTTCCTTCTCCTCCCTCCCTCCCTATTGTAAGCGCCAAGAGAACGCCTGCGCGCTACGTTCTACGCGCACGCACCCCCCTTGAACTTCTCTGGAAAAGCAACGAACTAGCGGCAGAACGCAACCTCCGGCCGGCGGCTGGTCGAGCGTCGGCAGCCTCCTCCCTCTCCGTCCGTAGCGCGGCACCGCGCCTGACGCAGGGGCCCGCTGAACGGTCAAGCGAACACCCGCTTGCCACGGAACCCGACCCTGTGGTGCACAGGACCTTGCTTTCAAACCCCAAGGTTATGTTGAAGGATCGTGATATCCATGGGTCCTATGTATGTGATACCCAACGCGATTGGCGTCCAATGAATTCAAACGAATCCCGGGCGTTCGTAATCATACGCAGCATGTTCCTTTAGGCGACGACGTTGGTTGAACACCGTGCTGTTGCGTTGTTCAAGCCAACCGCGTGGATTTGAAGTGCCGCCGAACTGCAGTCCCAACATGTTGCGAGCATGTTCTGATTGTGACTGCTTTTTCTTGAGCTGCGCATAGTGAAGCTTCGGGAGTGGAACTTTCCCATTTAGTTGTCAGCGGGCGCAGCAGCGCTCAGAGTTTGCCGAGCAATTGCGGCAAACGCGCGCCGCGGAGACGTCCCTCCGAATGTAAGCAGCGCGAGCAGCTACTGATAATCGCGAGGCCAAACAATCACATAACGTATTGCATTTGGCATCCCGCGCGGAACGTGGATGGACCTGGGATCCGCTCGCCTTGCGCTGGCGCCTGGCCTTCGGACCAGGACTGGTTCGGATGTGAAGTTCACGCATGCGCACGAGCAGCGGACGTCCTGCATCTGCGCTTTGCTGGCGCAGACAGCAAACGCGCACGATCGGTGCACAATTTCGCGCGCTGGCGCTGGCGTGCACTTACCCTGTCTGCCACAGACTGCGAGAGCGCCGATGTCGCATGCATCTACCCCGTCTTGGGGCAGTCACTGAATTAACATTGGCGCCCGCCTGCATGCGCGGGCGCCTCGGGCCAGACCCGCGATTCGCGCCAAAATGGGGTAGAGGAGCGAGAGGCGGAAGGGAGAGGAAAAAGAAAGAGGAGGAGGAGGCGGAGGAAGTAGGTAGGCAGGTCACTCCGCGGAACGCGGTCTGCTTCGGGCCGAAGGCGACAGCAGCGCGGCGCGGAAGGAGGCGGAGGAGGAGGAAGGGAAGGACGAAGAGAGGTGGAGGTCCCTCCTCCCCGAGAGGACGGCACTCCACTGTCGCCAACTGCGC